CACGCCCCGGGAAGCCCCCCACCCGGATCCCCGCCGAGGCCCAGAAGGTGTGGGCGAGCCCGCTGGCAGGAAAACGCGGCGGCCTGGCGGCCAGGCTTTCCTAGACCCTGGATGTGTCCGGGGAGGAACGTGGACTTTCTCTCCTTCCACAAGTATTTATTTATTCAGCAGCTACTACGCCCTGGTCGGCCCTGAGGAGGGTCCGGACGTCGGGCTCCGGGCTGGACGGTGCCACGAGCCGCAGGCCTGGCAGGGCCCGGCCACACAGCATTTGTGCCCCCAGCCTCTCGGTCTGGGAGGGAGCCTCCCAGTCCCCAGACTCCTCTCCAGCCAGGTCTACACCACCGTCCCATTCATATTCTTCTGGGTTACTAAGCAGCTGCTTTTAGAGTAAAAACAAACAAAAAAAAAAAAAAAAAACGGAGGAAGACCCGGAGATCATTCACCTTTTGGTGTGAATTCGCTTAATCCTGCCGCCTAATTTGTAAAGACTTCCCCACCTTGTGCGGGACGCAGCGCACAGCAAGGGCTTTCAGGGGGTTTGGAACAACGTCCGCCTCCCCTTCTGGGTGCACAGACCGGTAAGGGAGTCAGGTGAATTGAGATTCTCTACAGCGCGGAGCTGGCGCTGCGCGGTTAGTGTAGCAGCTGCCCTGGAGGCTAGGGACGGCCTTTGGTTCTCCAGGCCGTCGGGGCATCTGCGGTCAGTCTCGAAGGTGGAGGAGGGTGGTCCTCGAGAAGAATGACGTGGGGTCAGGCTTGGAACAGCTTCACAGTGGGGACTGGACCTGCCGTCTCGGGCGAGGGCCTTAGAAGGGGTTTTATTTGTACTTGGAGCATCTGGGCAGAAACTTTTAACTACTAGAAACTCTAGAGAGAACTCCTGGGAAGGAGCTACCAGAGGTCTCAGGAGTTGGGGAACGGAGTCACCCAAGATGAACTCACATACTGTATCTTTCTAGGTCTTCCTCGTTTACACCCAGGAAACTAGGCTTCGCCTGTAACAAAGGGAAGCCCCCGCCTCCAGGTCCTGTGTTCAGCCCCACTCCATTGATCAGGAAGTGATCACACAAGGCAAGCTTCTCCTGTTCCAGGTGAGATGTGACATCCTAGTGGGTAATCTTAAGGTTGTACTTATGAATGCTGTGAAAAAGATGAGACCTGGCTAAATCTAATCTCTCACACCACTGAGTGAACGAGGTGCTCTGTTTTGGACTGGTATATACTGGCCCATTAGCATGGCCATAATTTGTGTTATGGTATACTAATTACATCATTAGGCAACCCAGCCAAGCCATTCTTGTTTAAACCTTGCTTCCTGCTGTGCTTCCCCCCCCCCACCAAAAAAATTAGAAAACATGTATTATATTAAAATGTCTGCATCCTACTGTTAAAAAAAAAAAAGTAACACACTTTGCTGTTGCCACAATTTAGTTTGTTTCACTGGGATGAACTACTGCCCAATACTTCTCGGTGTTACTTCACATTTGATAAGCTTTCAGGTAAGTATTCTTACCCAACTTCTAAAACCGATGAGGAATCCAAAATAGCACACAGCGGTAAATGGCATTTATTGTTCTATATATCTCAAGACTTCAAAAAGGGACCCTAAATAGACAAACAAAACTGAAGCATTTAAGGGACAAACTCGCTTCTTCTCCCCCACTGGGTGGCACAGGAAACATTTGGTCACACAAAAGCAGTTAAGATGACAGAAAGGAAAATTGCTCCTCTGCAGGGTTTTTTGTCTTGATCAAGTTTTCACTCTGCTGTTCTGAGTTCACCCAGTTTACATAGTACCATCCCTTCGGAAAATTCCTAGTGGTTAAGACAATGAAGATTATCCCTAGTTTATAGATGGATGCATTTAGACTTCATTTGGTTCCAGTTGATCACTGGCAGAGGATGTTGCTGTCTGCTGTCCTGGATGCCAGATTACCACAGTCTGTGGTACCACTAGCCGCTGAAGAGTCTGTTTTCTGGCCTTCAATTCCCTTTTCAGCTTTACATTTTCTCTGGTACTAATAGTCTGTGGGGGGTGAGCTGCCATTAAACAAAGCTCCCACGTCAACATCCAAATCCTGCGTGGCAGGAAAATTAGCAGTATCAAAAATGGGAGTAGACAGTGAAATTTATTTCAACAGATAATTATTTATAACTATCCAACTTTAAAATATGTATACTTTTAATCCAGCAATCCCGGTGCTACAGGTTTACCTACGGATATTAAAATTCCTCAGGATTTGCAAGGATGTTCATTGTATCATGCTTCATAATAACAAAACTGGAAAAAACACCAGCATCCATCATTAAGGGACTAAGTAAATGAATTATCCATACTCAACAGGCATATTAAAAGCATTGCATTAAAATGTGTGTGCTGATAATGTGTGTGCTGATCCTGGAAAGATGTCCAGGATCTTTAAGTGAAAAAAAGCAAGGTGCAATAACCACTTGCTTCTTAACGTCACTGGAGGTGGAGCCAATCATAAAATTTAAAGAACACAGCCTCCTATATACTTCCTTAGTGTCAAAGGGAGAATTCAGACAGTAAATTAAGAGAATGGGGACTGTCAGAAAGGTCTCGTCAAAGCAGTATACATAAGGAAAACGATCATTAAAAGGGGTGGGGTCGAGATGAGTGGAAATGATTCCAAAATGGACTGGCGTGGCAGGGCGTGCTTGTAGAAGGAAATGGATATTGGAAACTCCAAGGTGAATCTGGTGTGCAAGATCCCAAGACTGGCTGGAGCCGTCTAGTTAGGAGGCTGGCGTGGTAATATAGGTATGAGAGAGATAAAGGTCTGGATTAGAAATAAAGTGAGGAAGGCATGAAAAGGAATGATCCGGCAGGAATTTGCTACTGATTAGATTAAGCAGTAAGTCGACCACAAGGAGGAATCTGGTATGAGTCCAAGATTTTAGGCCATCAAGAGAAACTCAAATAGCTGAAATAAATGAGGAAGTCCAAAGGGGGATCTGATATGGGGTTTGATTTTAGAAATTAGAGATACCCAGCAGAAAGTTAAAGGTCGGGACTCAAGCTCAAACAAAAGGTCAGGACTGCAAATACATGGTCGAATGTCACCCATCTGAAATTCTGTAAAGGGCTAAGGATTCAGGATTGAATCTTGGGAAAGAAACATCAGTATAAGTCTAATAGCATTAAGTAACCCATCTATAGTCCTGTATTTGGCCTGTAATTCTTCAGTAATTTGATGTGATTTAATTTATTTCTTTGTAAAATGTGGTCTCCATTTTCAGTGATGTGTGTAAGAATTCGTTACTAGCGTGTAATCCATCTCTGAATGAATTATTGTTATAAACTTTAAGCTTAAGCTATTGAATCAACTCATGTGTAGGACAAGATGAACTGGTTTTCAATATTTTAATATCCCCTGTCTCCTCAAGGAGATCAGGGATTATATCAACTGGAACTTCTAAATAAGGATAACTTTTTCTTTCCTGAATCAAGCTAGTGACTTTTTTGTTTTTGTTTTTGCTCTTCTGCAACCGAAACGTTAAAATAAATAACATCTCTAGGTATTATGAATCAGTAGCACTAATCCACAATTCCTAAATCTTATTGTCTAGACAGTCCTGAAAAAGATAGGCATATGAACGTTAAGAATTCCCAGTGCCAGGCTAGACCAGAAACCTCGATA